AACCAGTATGGAAACAATTATAAATTAAATTCCATTCTCCAGTGAGGAGAACAGGGTATGCTACATTTTGAATAATGAGAGATTTTGTAATCCAGGGAATTTGTTGTTGTTTGCTTTGTAAATTCTAGAGTGGTTAACAATAACATAAAAGAGAAACCTTAATCATGGCATGTTTCTCAAATAAATGACTAGACTATTATTTTGGTCAAAATATAATAATCTTGGATATTTACTCAAACTCTTCTGAATATATATTATCTTATAACTTTAAGAATTCAATATACTCTTTGACAATACACTTTTCCAAATGGATGCCAGTTTTTATTTCTGATACTGTATTAGTATTCACCAAGTAATAATTTAACCTGTTTCCTGAACCAAATAAAATATAACTAATTTCAACAACCAACCATTAGGGTCAAAAGTAATGTAAAGAAGAAAATGAGCACTATTTCTGAAATTGGTAGGTGGTAACATGTACATTTGAAACAGAAGATTTTTTTTAACCAGTTTTAGTCAGTGTATAAATTCAAGTAAAATTTATGGAATGGTATAGAGAGACCTATATTTGTTGACATTTATCAGCAATTTAAAACATTGAAAGAAAAAACAAAAATATTTGAGGACTAATGAAAGTGTCATTCTTTTACTGAAACCAAGGATCCAAACCTCCTACAAACTGAGACACAATAAAAATGTTCTGAAATGGAAATGCTCTCTGATTTTAGACACACAACTTTGTCTAAAACAGTGTAAGCCTTTCTGGAATTAGTCATCAACAAAACAATCGAAACATTAAAAACTGAGCTACACAGATGACAGGGATTTTTTTCTAGATGTATTTACTTGGGGTCTAATGCTTTAGTGAGATTTACACAGAGATGAAGTTGAGACTTCAAAACTACTCAAATTGGAAGGACTTAAACACATTTATGAAAACTTGTGCTTAGGTACTGTATAAATAAACCGTGTGTCTACAAGTATGATGTGTAGATTAAGAGAAATAAAATACCTTCTTTTGTTATGTGAGAAAAGACTTGACAGTTTAATATAATGGTGGTGTTCAGTTGACAATTTCAAGATGTAGCTAGGCCTCCTCCATTTTCTTTTCTTTTCACTTTTTTTCTTTTCTTTGTACATAGGAGTCTTTGCATGTCAACTATGCGCACTAATCTCACCTGTATCATTGTTTAGCCATGCAGCCCTCATTTAGGGTATCCATTGAATAAACAAAGACTTTACATTTTAATGCCATCCTCTACGATGTCTTGTCTACGGGCCACCTTGTTAATTCCAAAGCAATGTTGGAACCTGCATCTGAGTGGTCTCACGGTAGTGAATGGGGCTACGCTGAAGGCAGGTGACATACAAGGGAAGATTTCATTTGATCTGTGTTAGACCAGCGTGAGGAAGCTGTCTTCTCCCAGGCACTCATGTGTGGAACTCCAAATTCTACAAAAGCAAAATTGGTTGAACTCGAAAGATTAGTTTGAAAATACTGTGGAAACACTGCCCAGTAAAGACAAAAGAGGTGAACATTAAAGGGGAAGGTAGGGAGGGAGAACAAAAGGGAGGAGGGGTAGAAAGAAGCAGAGTGAATGACATCATGTGCCAGTGATGAGAACGTGGGGTACAAAGAGAGGGCAATAAACCAAAGTCTGGGAAAAAATAAACAAATCCACCATTTTGACTCACAGTAGGGGGGCATTTTATTTTTCTTCATGAACCCTATACTCCAATTTGGAATATCTCTTCCCATAATAAAAGCATTTATTTTCACACCTCTCTTCCATTCTCATTTTTTTCTGCACTTCTTTTGTTTCATTTGGGCAAATTTCTCATATATTTCAATTCCCAGACTGCATGTCACTTATTTTCTGAAGCTCTCCATGCTCTTTTGAAATTAATCCCTTCTTCTGTGATCCCAGACACTGTTACCTTCAGTTAGCATTTGGCACTTATCACATTGTAACCTGTTTCCTTCCAACAATGATTTATTGAGTTTCTTTTCTATGCCAGCCATCAGGATAGGTACTGGAATACTGGAGGCAGAGATAAATTAGATACAAATCCTGTCCTCAAGTAGCTTACAGTCCTGAAAGGGATGGGGGTGTAAACAAACAAATTACACTTTTGTGATAGGTGTGGCATAAAAAGTATACAAAAAGCACAGATTTGGTGCAGAGAAGGTGGCTAGTTTCATCTAGAGATGGAAGGATCAGGAAAGACTTCCAGATAGTATGAATAAGTATGTGCAGTTAAGTTGTAATACTATCCTCATCACCTACCAGTGTCTAGTACATAGTAGATAGAAAAGATCTACCAATATAATTTAATTGGACAATTAAAAATTTCACATCTTAATGCCTTTAGAACCAGGAGTCTGGAAAGTGTCTAGAAGCCTAATTCCTTTAAGTTCAAAATCATCTTTTTGTTTGGTTGGGTTCAATTTGGTCTGTGTGCTTGCATGTTTGAAATTAAAACCAAGCCGTTTTCTTTGGTTGGGTTGACTGTGAAAATGGCCATACCGTTTCTGTGGCTTCATTCGTTATAGGTCCTCTTAGTACATTAACTTTATTTTTTAGGTTAGTTTATTTTTGGGAGAGAGAGAGAGCGAGACAGCGAGAGAGGTAGAGAGAGAGGAAGATGCAGAATCTGAAGCAGGCTCCAGGCTCTGAGTTGTCAGTACAGACTGCAACGCAGGGTTCAAACTCATGAACCACAGGATCGTGACCTGATTTGAAGTTGGACGCTTAACCAACTGAGCCACTCAGGTGACCCAGTACGTTAACTTTACAAAGTATGTGTCTTTAACTAATTAGTGTAAGAAAAATGTTAGGAAGCAGATAAACTAATAGGCTTTTGCAGACTTTGTGAAAAAGAATGTTTTTTTTTTTAAGGAAACATGTATTTTGCAAACATTAACAATGAATTTGAATAATTATTACAACGTTAAAATAAAAAGCACGATGCCTTTGGCATTAGGCTAGTTTATATCTAACACATTATAACACAGTAAGATGATGTTGAATCCCGTTTGTTAAGACTGTCGTTGAAGACATCACACTGGATAATTTCCACTTAAGTTTGAATGCAAATTGTATTTTAAAAATGAACTCACAAAACAAAGCTTTTAAAATGTTATACTAATCACTTCATATTGATGAAATGCTTGCTTATGACCTTAAAGATAGGCAATTTCAGTAACAATTGTTGACCATCCTTGTTGATCCTGAATGAAACCAAACTGAGCACGATAATGACACATTATAGAATTTCATCCCTATATCTCCTCTTTTAGGCATGACATAAAAATAACAATATTTAACTTAAAGGGCATAAAAATGAACATCATCACCATAAATATAGAACTCAGTTTACAGATGACTAGAACGGAGAAATCTGCTAGCTGATTATGTAGCAACCTGACTCTGGTTCTCAGCATTTTCTAAACTTATGTTCCTTGACACCATATGCTACAGGGAAAAGTAAAGACATCTGAATTCAAATATTTTGAAGAAATGTGTATTTAGCAACTGAATACATGCTAAAAGGAATAATTTACAGCAGCAGTTTCATTACATTTTTCTCTCCAGTTTTCTAGTTCCCATCTGAAATGCACTGATAAATACGGATATGGAACATATTTACTACCTGGCAAAAAACATGCTTATTGAATGGGCACACACTCTCTGCCCTTAAAAAGCACATAAACCACCTTGTCGTCTGTGTGGGGAAATCTTGCGTTTTAGGATGATGTTGAACACACTGAAATGGAATCCCTATAGAAAGTTGCAGCTTACTGTCCTTCCTCTTCTTTTCAAAATTATTTACACCTCTTTTGCCTAATGTGTAGGTAGCAAAAATATTAAACACATACCATTGAAAATCACTAAATAATACATAAAAGTTGCATTAAGTGTGCATTTACATGCATTTACATTTTACATTTGATTTCAACTGGGCCATAATTTCTCTGCTGCTATGTACTTTTTTCCAATCCTAAGAGAGCTGTCATAACTTGTCACATGAGTCTTTTAACAAAGTTTCAACTCTGATGATACATGCATATGCCAAAAGTCTATTAAAATTAAGTGGGACGTTAGTTATTTTTCGTGCAAACTGTCCCCTCTCAATACACACTGGCAGACTATGACTTTAATAAGAGTTATCTACCTGCAAGTTAAATCAATAATTTTCTTTGAAAACAGACTTGATGGTTTATAAAGAAAGACATGCCAGTAGGTTTGTTTTGTTTCTTTTTCATTAAAGTCTAAACTTACTTTCTCTGGGTATTTCATAATGCTTACAAAATGCATTTGGATACTGGAAGGCATCCCTTCTATCCCTTTATATCCATTATTGCTGAGGACTACTAAGAAATAAGATACTTCTGTTACTGCAAATGTGTTTCAGCTGCAAACTTAGAAGGAAATGCAACACCAAATTTTAGCACAGTGAAGATACTCCATGGAAATAAAAGAATTACCTATTTTTGGAGCACTCTTTGTTCTTTGATTTGTATTTCAAACATTTATTTTTCTCTACAGAAATATGTCCTTCAAGTAATTTAACATTCAAATACCGTTTACAAATGTATTTCTAAAAGTAACACTGGATTAATCAATGGAGCCTAAAATTTAATGTAGAATATTTTTAGGCTTTCATTTGAAATAGGCATTAACAAATTGTTTATTCAGATCACTAAAACTGAAACATGAGCTTCCATCTGTGAAATATTTCAGCTGAGAATTTTTCTTTTAAAAAGATGCACTGTAGTCTGAGGTGAGAAATTAATGCTGAGTTAATTAGAATCCCAAGACAGCTAGAGTTAGAATTTCAAAGCTGCTTTCATTAATTAGCAAGAAGATGTTTCCTTTGCAGTTTTGTGCATGATGAAGAATCTACGGAAGGATTCCTGGAAAGGCGAGTGCAGTGCAAAACAAACTACCATAATGTGGAAGGTCTTAAACACCTGAAAGTCAATGATTCTCAAGGAATCATGTTAGGACGAGGGAAGAGGCAAGGCCTTTATTGACAGCTTTTACCTTATTTTATAAGTTGTTGCAGGAAACAAAAAGCTTTACATGTTTTAAGTGAGAGTTGTGTCCTGGGAAACAGTTTGTATCAAAGTTGCTCCCATCAACATGAAACGAATCGGAATGATCACTGTAAGACAGATCATTGTTTTAAACAAGGTGAGGTAAGAGACAGCTGATACAAATATAAACAGAGTTGGGAAATTTGCTTTTAAGATGTTCTTCTGAATATTACTGATCTCTCTTTTTCAAGAAAATTAAGTGACACATATGTAATTCCTAAAGGAATAATGAGAGTTTTTATGTCTCAAATATCATGCAGGTTTTCAAGCCCAGAACTGAGATTTTCTGTTAAAGCTATATTAAAACAATGCTTATTATTTTCATGGAATATGCAGTTCCTTTTCTCCTTATTGATCCATTAGATACAACACAATGCATTGAACAAATCGAATTGTTTCTTCTCTTTTTTTTTTGGTTACACGTTCTGGTTTTTCTAAGAACATTATGCAAGTTAAAATTAATTTCGATCATGCTTAAAGAAGGGGGTGTTATTTGTTTGAATTCCTCAGAGAAATAAAGCATAATTTAGGTCCAGGCTTTAGGAATCAACTGTTAATGACGTTTACGTGTTTCTTGAGCAATATCGGCTATCCCTCTTGCAGAACTAAAAACACAATGTCGGGGGAAAAAGCAGCACACAATTGGAATTTGTAAAACAAAAACTATAGAGCACAGTAAGTATAAGACAAAAACCTACTCTAGCTTAGAAAAGAGCTAATTTTTACTGCATATTTGTCATGGTACATTTAAATTATAGTTTTAATAAAATACATCTTTAGATCAAAGCTGAAAGAAGACATCAGTAGTAGATCAGTGTATTCCATTTTTCTTCTGGATGATGGATGGTTTATGTTTTTTATACTTCCACAGACCATTTCATTCAGTCTCATTTTACTCCTCCAGTACATATAAACACAAGTGCTGGTAGACAAAAAATATCCTTGAATCCAACTATATTTTGGAATATTCATCAGCTTCATAAATCCATGCAGTTTATTTTAAACTTTTAGTTCAATAAAATGGCTTTGCTGATGCAGTTTTTCTTCTTTAGATGGCAATATGGCAAATGACATTTTTATTTCTCAGGCAAAGAAGAAAGCGAAACCTGTACAATGAAATCTCATAGGAAACATTAAGTCTGCTAAAGTGAACATCTGCGTTCACCTGACCCCTATTCGGTGTTGGTATTAGGAGGAAAGCCTGTTAGGAAAATTACTCATGGACTTAATTTATAATTGGTGGAACTCAGTTGCAATTCCCACCATTGTAAACATCCACATAATGCCATGAAAAAGGTTCATGTATATTGCATTTTTTTTTCCAGTTATTGTCTAGGCAAGTTTCTATGTGTTTGAGGTTTCTAGAGGTAACGCAGCTCAGACACTCCTGGGTGCCCTCTCAAATTCGTGGGTCCGCCTGTTTCTACCTTTCTTATTTTCCTGCAAGTGCTTCCATTTGTTGCTGTTCCCTTGGGCATGTCCTGGCCTTTGCCGACGTTGTTTTCGGTCCCTTTTCCACACTTGTTCACAGAACTCATCCATTGTGTTCAGGTTGGGGTGGTTGATGAGCTGCATGAAGTCTCTGTACCAGACCTTTTGGCTAGGTGTCATGCTGTTGGACATTTCTTTGGTCTTAGAGCCATCTCCGTCATCATCTTTATGAAGAAGCTCTTCCAAATGCTCTGTGTCGATGACTTCCAGGGTCACTTTAAGAAGAGTTTGCATGAACCCGTGTTCCACGGCATGGCAGAGGTAAGTGCCCGAATCCTTCCGCTGTAGACTACGCAGTAGAAGGCCTTGTTCTGTCCTGATGATGTGATCATCCACTCTGATCTGGCAGAAGAAAACAGTAGTAAAAATATACATATTTAAAAGAAATAGAAGTTCTGAAACGTCTCACTAAAAATTTAGATTATGTGTTAAGGCACATTTTAAAGTTGATAACATTTCTAGCTGAAGAGAGATGATAGCATTTCCCCATCAGAAAAAAAGAGGAATTTCTATAAATTGTTTTTAAGATGCATTGGAAAATACTGGTTGTCTACTGCCTTAACAGAATTTTTCATTATAATAATTTAAAATATTCAAAATAAAAGGACACAGATACACTTTATTTTATAAACTCGAAAGAAGGTATATAAATAGAGGAGAAAGTTAACATTAAATCTTGGAAATACAGAACCATGGTATTAGAAAACAGCACAGCATTAGAATGAACTCAGAAGATTTGAAGACATTTAAGAATCAGCAGTCAAGCTAGCAGAAAAATGCATAGGAGTACATGCTTAATAATTATTTATTCCATTTTCTAAGTCTCAGTTTGACATAAATATGAAGATGTGTTCTTGAATATACCTAACCTTACTTTTATTTTGAATATGGTCTACAACAGACATCTCTGAAAGCCTAACCTGATAGTGTATAAAAACGTATAAAATCAACTTCAATATTTGTAGATGTGATTACATATTCAATGATGCTTCAAATGTCAAAAAAGATACGGGAGGGTTTTAAACTTTAAATTCAGATTATGTTTGTAAAATTATCTGCACAGAATACATTTACAAATCACCTACACATTATGGTTAATTAGCCTTATTTAATACTTTTTAAAAGCTTTTAAGGCTCAGAGGATCCAGATTTTCTGTGTACGATTCTTTAATTTCACACAGGAATAAATGAATCTAGTGATGAGGAAGATCTGTCTGATGCTACATGCATAGTTCATACTGGGATCTGAGACTCTTCATCCTAAATCTCCTAGCCCCGGTCCAAAACCTTCCCTCCTCATTTGAGAAGAAAGTCAAGGCGTGGAGGAGGGCGCTTGTGGGGATGAGCACTGGGTGTTATATGGAAACCAATTTGACAAGAAGCTATTTGTTAACAAAAAAAAAAAAAAAAAAAAAAAAGCCAATAGAGAAAATAAAACGTTTGGATAACAGAATTAACTGAACAAAAGTTAAAATTAGTAGAGGATTTTTTTTTTTTTGGGTACAAAAATACAGATAACATACTTTCTTTGTCGATAACTACATGGAAAAAGAAGACTCTCAAATATATCCCCAAATGGATCTGGGACAAAATTCTTAACAGCTCACCTTTGTTTCTCCAGCTCCTAGCACAAAGCCTGTCATATGATCAGCCTTCAGTGAATGCTTGTTAAATGAATGAACTATTGATGGGTTAAGAAAAAGATAAAGATTCACGGCATTTTTTTCACCCTCAAGTCAACCATGTTGGGGTCACTTAACAGTATATGTTAGATAGAAATAATCCAGTCAATTTCATTCCTATACCTCTTCTTTTCGCTCTTCATTTCTCCTCTGGAATTGCCAATAGACCAGAGCTCGCTGTGATTTTGGACTGCATTCCAGGAACGTGCTACTATTTTCTACTCCATAGATGATTCTTTCTTCAAAGCTGTGGCCATGGTGATTATCTGGCCGGTGATGAGGAAATGAAATGAGTAAATGTTAGAGAAGTAAATTCAACTTTCCAAAGTATTTATCTGGAAATTCAGAAGATAAATTTGTTGCCAAGTTGGAAGTCTTTTCCAAATCGATTTAGGATGGCAGAAATGTCACGGACGTAATGTTTCAGAACCCGAGTGGCTGCTTAAACAGACTAATTATTTTGGTATAGTTTATACAAAGCACATGCAGAGATTTGTCTACCAGAAAATAGCATTACATTAACAAAATCAGTCATGTGTGCAGTATAACTATATATCTTTATATGCCATGATAATACCTTCCAAGAAATTATTTCAACTATAAAACTCTATGCTCTGACTAATGAGGCTAGTTCATATTGTACTATTCGCTAGCAGAAAAGTTATTTGACTGAGGTTTTGGACACAAGAATCTGTTCCTAAGAAATTATTTTGCCTCTCTGTGTTTGCTTTTCATCTGTAAAATTAACTTCACCAGCCATTGATATTTATCTAGTATTTTACAGAAAGTAGAGTTCAGGAAGTTTATACTCCCCACCAATAACCCTTAAATAATCTACATGTTTTTTCTGAAGATCAATGGGTGTGAGATGTTTGGGATGGCTTAGAAAAAAGATGCACAATTATAAAGCAATGTGGTTTCAATTGTCCTTATTTTAAAACGATACATCTTTTATTATTTTCAAGAATGAGGCTAAAGAATATGGCAAGAGTATATAATAAAGTGTAGCAATAAGAAAACCTGTTTCCTGATTAAGTTTCTATTATTTTACCCTTTATGTAACCTCCTTCAATGTGGTAAAAGAAACACAGTTAAGATCAAAAGTGGGACACAGGGAGTCTAGGTAAAACTCATTTAGAGAGAAAAAAAAAAAAAAACCCGCTCCTTATTATCTTGTATAATCCTGTTTCCATTATGACATCCTGTACAATCTGGAACTCATTAAATTAATTCAGAAAATAATAAATATATTTTCACATGCATGGAGGGTTGACAGCATAGACAGATGAAAAATTTTTGCTCTCTACTTCAAACTCAACTAGGTTCTTAATTAAAAAAAATGTTTCCCCCTTTTTCTGGCATCACTTTGACAATTCTACTCTTGTTCTAATCAACTGAGTACTCTGGTTTGTCGCAGACAATATGATTTGCTCTCACTAGATTTACAGCTTTCCAAAATCCTGCTTCCACCCAATCCCTCTACATAGGTTGTATTCTCCATCTCCCATTCTCCCCCTGCCACGGTCGGCATTCTGCCTCTGTTTGCTTTCTCCAGGGAGGTCAATATCAGTGCTTGCTTTTCTATCCCCCTAAATTGTGAAATGAAACTCTTCTACACTTGGGAAGTAACTTCCCCCTTCTTATTTAACAGATCAACACACTGGAAAAAGAAAATGAAAGGAACAACTATATTTAACTGATTCTAAGTCACATTGTTTTTTATATTGGAGATATATCTTTGTATGTCGATATCTATAATGAATATGGCAGTGCTTTTATCCCCCCAAATTATTAGTACATTGCTGAATGAACAGATATGACACATGTTGCTATGCTAGTTTGCACGATATCTGCTTCCCTGGAGAGAGGCGAACTGAATCTATCTGCCTAACAGGGGTGGGCAATCTCTTGTGATGCCATATTTAGAACACCCTGTTACAGAAGTCAATACAGTTTAAGTGGACACATTTTTTTTCCCCTGATAATTGCTGTACAGTTTAACCTTTGATTTAGAAATACTTTCATTTGCAATATTATTCAGCCTTTAAAAAAGAAAGAAATCTGCAATCAGTAACATGGATGGACCTTGAGTGCTAAAAGGCCCATAAGCTAGTCACAGAAGAACAAGTACTGATGTAATGTAATGATGATGTAATGTAAGTAATGATGATCCCACTTATACAAAAGATCTAAAATAGTCAAACTCCTAAAAGCAGATGGTAGAATGGTGGGTGCCAGGGACCACGGCAAAAGGGAAATGGGTAGGTGTTAATCAATGGGTATAAAGTTTCAGTTAATGCAAGATGAGTATGGTCTTGAGATCTGCTGTACAAGTGTGCCTACAGTGAACAATATTGTACTGTGCACTTAAAAACTTCAGAGGGTGAATCGCGTGTTACGTGTTCTTATCCTAATAAAATAAAAAGTTAAAAAAAAGTCTTAAGTAAAAAAATCCTTTTAGATAGAGACTTTTTACTCACAAAATATATGACGGCTTGGTAACAGTAAAAAGTCCATTGTACTGGGGTGCCTGGGTGGCTTAGTCAGTTAAGCATCTTATTCTTGGCTTTGGCTCAGGTCAAGATCTCACAGTTTGTGGGTTCAAGCCCCACGTTGGGCCCTGAGCTGGAGCATGGAGCCTGCATGGGATATTCTTTCTCTTTCTGCCCCTCCTCCACTCATGCTGTCTCTTTTTCTCAAAAATCAATAAACTTAATTTTTTTTAAATCTACTGGATTTAGAAACAAAAAACATAGTGAACCACTAGTACCTTCTGGCTTACCCAGGGCTACTTTTCTTGTAGAACTTTAAGAAATAACTGACTTGTCTGTCACCTAACGCAAGTTACCACAGAGAGCTATAGAAGTCTTATGGAAGAAGTAAGTTCTTGCTTGCAAACATAAAATTCTGTTTAAATCCTTTAGCACATTAGTTGACATATAGTTAAGAAGAGAATGTAACTTATATAATAACAAATAAGAAAGCTTAATATAAGTGTAACATCAATTAGGTATATTTTCAAAATTCACAAAGTTGTCTTCTTCCCAATTAACTTAATCATTTTTATCTGTTCCATAAAGAGTTTTCTGTTAACCTTTCTTCCAACCCTGGGAGACGTGTTCAGTTTTTAGTGTCTCTTCAAGGTCTCCTCTCGTGACAACAAATGCTTCCCAATGAATAAAAGTGAAATGTAATAAGAGTTCTCTCAAGAGTAAAGGTTTCTTTATATTTAAAAAAATCTCATTTCACCTGCTACTTATATATAGTAGCATCTAATATAAGATGGCTTTTGATTTAATCAAGGTTTTATACCGAGTTGTTTGAGTTTAACTTAGCAGTGGTTCATGAACTTCTCTTCAAGAGACATGGCCTTCAGGTACGGAGACAACTTCTCCACTGTTGTAATTGACAAACCACAACCAGTGAACTGGTTCAGTGACTAGGTATCTTTAGTTTGCCTTGATAACTACTCTTGCCAATACCTTTAGGACTCATTCCTCCTTTAAACTGGCCTTCATTTCTTTCCTTTGTCCAAATAAAAAAGCAAAATGAAGTTCTAGTTAGTAAGCAATGAGGTTACAAGTTCTACCACACTAACCACCCAGCATAGTCAGTATGGAGAGACAACACCGTCTTTTTTGGGTTGACATTCTCTTATGTTTTGTTAGGTTCTGCTGCCATCAATAATGATTGCAAAAACTCAATTTCCACTGGGAACAGTTGTTTCTATTAATTTCTCTGCAGTAGAATATTTCTATCATCAGGAACTTATAACTTAGGGCCAGAACTTTTAGATAACGTGGCCTCAGGGGGGTCTTGGGTGGCTCAGTCGGTTGAGGGGCTCTTGATTTCAGCACAGGTCATGGTTTCACTGTGGGATCAAGTCTCACATGGGCTCTGCACTGACAGCATAGAGCCTGAATGGGATTCTCTCCCTCCCTCTCACTCTCTGCCTCTCCCCTACTCTCACTCTCTCAAAATGAATAAACTTAAAAAAAAAAAATACAGTGGCCTTAGGCAAACATTCATATATCTGGGTGCTCAAATGTAACAAGCTGTAAATATCTTTCTCTATTTATTTCCTCACATATGATACCTTATAAACAGATACCCAAGAAGTATTTCAGAATGACTGGAGGGCACCTAATAACTGTCCATTCCCTTTCCTGATCCTTCTACCCCAACTGCTTTTGAGTAAATGTTATACAACATAGGAGACAATAGAATCTCAATAATAATGTAATTCTTTCCTTTCTCCTTCCTTTTTTCCCTCTGTCCCCAATCTCTGTTTGTTTCTGTCTCTTTCTATTAAGAAATGTAAATAGGAAGAATATTTCAATTCTTATTTTTAGCATATTTTCAACTATTTTCTTAGGATGTCAAGTATACTATCATTTTGAGTTTATTAAAGCAAACAGTTCTGCACTGAAATGGTAGCATAATATAGCTGTATTCTAAGTTTTTTCAGAGCATACACTACTGAACTTAAAATTCTCCAATATAAATCCAAAGCTCAGCTGAGAAAACACTGTTGATTAAAGGTTTCCTGAAGGATATGAAATCTTGCATATTCAAGGTATCATCTAAAATCTCCCTCTGGATGAAACTAGTTGATCTGAGAGCAGTTTACATGGAACACATATAATAATATAATTGATTTTACTGAATTGTGTTGGGTTCAGTCCTTCTGACCTATGTTGAGGAATCCCATTGGCAATACTCTGGATTTGCTCACTGTGTTCATGTCACAGTGTTGTCCAGTATGGTGCCCACAGCCTTGCACTATTTTTTTGATGTTCATCTTGGGAGATTTTTTTTTCTGGTGTTAGGCTTCAGGAATTATTAAGATTCTCTTAAAAACTAATTTTTAAAAGTAGGCTCCACACCTAACACGGGGCTTGAACGCACAACCCTGAAATGAAGAGTCATAGTGTCCAGTGACTAAGCCAGCCAGGCATCCCCCCAAATTCATTTTTTTTATAAAGAATTAACTTTGTGACTCATCTGTTGATCATATTTCTCCCTCACCACTGAAAAAAACAGTATTAGACAAATTTATGTTTTATCCTTACAGTATAATGGTAAATATATTCTTCCTACATGCATGGTTTTGTTCTGTCAGTAAACATGTTTTCTCTCTGTGACATATTGCTATCGTTATCTTTGTTTTCAATAAAAAAATTACAAACTGTCTGAAATACATTAGGTAATCTAACAATTTTGGACAACGTGATTTTTTATAATGCTTCTTAAGTATCTTTTTGTT